GCGCAGGACTGGAGTGGACCCGGGGGGTGGGGGGGCTTGTAGAGAAGGGGCCCCGGGCCCTGCTCACACTGCACGGCTTGCTCTCTGGGCCTGCACGGTGACCTCACCCTGTGATCAGTGACGGGGCTTAGGCGAACCGGGCCGGCTCACAGATGCCCGAGCGATTCCGCTCTGAGCTGTTTGCACAGTGAAGCAGCCGTGGACCCAGGCAGTGCCCCTCGCCTTTCCCACATGGATGTGGCTGGGCTCTTTGTGACACACTGGCACCACCTGACCCCTCGCTGTACCCTCCAGCCCCTCAACTTCAGTCAGGACACTCCCTGCTTGCCCCTGTTAGCCACCCCCACAACCCAGTGTGTACCTACTGGGAGTTCTGGGGGCTCCCAGAGGGCTTTCCTTGCTGCTGTGAGCAGACGGCTCCTGGCCAGCCACTAGAGCATCCTGTCTGTGCTGTGTCTGTGCCGCGTCTGTGCTGCATCTGTACTGTATCATCTATACCATGTCTATCCCGTGTCTGTACCACGTCTATGCTGTGTCTATACCGTGTCTGTGCTGTATCTATGCTGTATCTAGGCTGTGTCTATACCACGTCTGTGTTGTGTCTAGGGTGTGTTTATGACATGTCTATACCACGTCTGTGCTGAATCTAGGCTGTATCTATGCCGCGTCTATACCGCATCTATGCCACGTCTTTGCCATGTCTGTACCGCATCTTTGCCGAGTTTATGCCACATCTGTGCTGTATGCACCGTCGGTGATGTGGTCCTCTAAGGATTCCTGAGTTCTGTCTCCTGGTTGTGATGCAGAGACTGGTGCCAACTTGTCTACCTATCACCACTGAGAAACTGTGTGAATAGTGGGCCAGGCCAGTAGGTGACCACAGACAGTGCTGGGGTAGTGACCAATGTGGAGGTCACCCCACTGGGTGTGTGGCTGGCCCAAGTGGGTGCTGACCATCTAGGTGCCAACTGGGCTGAGCTCCGGAGGCAGGGGCAGGAGTCACGTGGGGCCTGGATGTCTATATGGGCTGTGCAGAGGGAAAGCACTGTGGTCCAGTGGTGATTTGCTGATGGTGACTTGCTGTGGCCTGTGAGTGGGCTCCACCTCTGCAGAAGCAGAGGGACCAGCAAGTCAGACCGGTGGGGACTTAGCCCACTCCTCCAGGACGGGATCTAGCTGTACACCTGGGCGCTAGTCAGGACCCCACAGGAATCATGCCTGCCCTGGGACAGAGGGCAGACAGTGACCTGTGGCAGAGTTTGGAAAACTATGGCTGTCACTCAGTTTTGTTGAACCCAAGGATGATTTTTACATTTTTTAAGAGTTGTAAGAAGAGGAGGAGGGGAGAGAAGAGGAGAGGGAGAGGGATGAAGCCACATCTGCAGGATCACAGGTGCGCTCAGAAAGGCCACCTGCCTGGACAGCCACTGCCTGTGGCCTTCATGGACTAAGGCAGCCTGAGGAGTCCTGCCAGCCAGCCAGCGTGTGCCCAGCGCGCTGCACAGGATGAAGAGACCAGGAGGAAACAAGCAGTGACCTCAGATCAGGAAGCTCTCCATCGAATGAAGCCTGCAGTCACAGGCAGGTGAGATGCGCTGCCTGGTGGGGCTGTTGCCATGGCGCTGCTGGCCCCGCCCTTGAACTTAGAGCAAAATGGCCAGAAGGCGTGTTCCGGGCATTAGTATGTAGGTACTGCAAAAGGATTTCCAAAGCGGCTTCTCAAATTTATACTAGTGCTTCTGGTGGTTCCATGTTTTTGCCAAGACTTTACAATTTTAATTTCAACTACAATATTCCTGTAGGTGTGTAGTTGAATCTCATGTGGCTTTGGAGGTTTCATGTAAGGACTTGCGCTGCCAACACCAAGGCACGTGGTTTGAAACCACCATCTGTTCTGCGTTCTCCTCCCATGTAACGGACTGCCTGTGAAAACCTACTGGAGGGTCGGCATGGGTCAGTTTCAACTTGACAGCACTCAGCATCGTTGCGGCTTCAATGCCCGTTTGTCTGTTGCTAGTATGCAGAAGCTGCACAGTGAAGACCAAAGAATGGATGCATTTGAATTCTGTGCTTGGCGAAGAGCACTGAACATCCCATGGACTGCCAGAGGGACAGACAAGTCGGTCCTGGACGCATAGCCAGATGCTGACAAGTGCAGATGGGGAGTGACTTCATCTCACATTCTCAGGGGAAGCATCCGGGGAGAGAGACGTTGTGCTTGAGAAAGTGGGGAGTCAGTGCAAAGCAGAAAGCCATCAATGAGGGCGACAGCAGCTGCTGCCGTTGTGGGCTTAGTGTAGAGAGGATGGTGGAGGCCCGGCAGTCTGTCTTCATCGGTAAGTTCTTCAAGTATCTGGATGACACAGGTTGTCGAGTCCACGTCCAATCCTCGTGGAGCCCAGCCTGTGGGGTTATTTGCTCAGGATACACAAACTGAACAGACCTGGTGAAAGCGTACAGCCCTGCTGGAAGTCCTTTCCCGATTTTAAACCATGCACGGACCCCTTGTTCTGTTTGGATGACTGCTTCTTGCTGTTCCAGCCTCTGCATGTTGTGTGTACCACAGAGTCGGAGCCGACCCACAGCTCACCCTCCAGTGGGGTTTTCAGAGGCAGCTAATCGCACGGGAGGAGGTTGCCCATCTTCCTCCCGACTGCTTCTTGCTCTTCCAGTTTGTTGTGATCCACAGTCAATCGCCTTTGCATAGTCAACAAGTACAGGTAAACATGATTGTGATATTCTCTGCTTTCAAACAAGATTGAGCTGATGTCAGCAATGAAATGTCCTGTTTCACATCCTCTTTGAGATCCAGCTTGAATTCCTGGTGTGTCAGTGTATAGAGGTGCTCCCGACTCTCCAGGCTGCCTGTCTACTCCTCCCACCACCGTGACCTTGGATTTCTGCAGAAATGACAAGACCTCTTAGAGGTCAGCCTGATTATCCATAGATTAGGTTGAACCTGGGATCAAGGTCGGTACCGGCAGCTGTGCAAAGGCCGTGAAGCCACAGCCCTTTTGGGTCCAGGTGGTCACTTTCTGTCTTCCTGACTTCTAGGAGGCTGCCAGGTTGAGCTGAGGGCTTCCTGGGCAGTGAACTGGAGACCCTAAGAGGATGCTGCTCCTTTCCCTGTGCTGGTGCAGCTGCGCTGACCAAGGGTTTACCAGTGAGGGAACCCTCCTCAGTAGCCCTTTATAGCCTCCCTCATAAAGCAGCTTTCATGCCTAGAAATTAAAGAGGTCGCCCTGCGGGTGGAGTGATCCGGGCCTGTGGCCGCTGGTATTTATTACCTTTTAGACCCTGAAACTAAAGGTGGGCAATTTGAGCAATTCACTTAATGACTCCCAGGCCTGGATGAACGCAGCCTCCAATGAGTCCTTGGGGGAGGACTCTCAGGTCAGGACCAGGAGCACTGATGCAAACCGCCCTTCCTCCAGCGTGCTCGTGGCTCCCGACACAGGCTGCTGGGCCTGGGTCCATCCAGCAGCCTCTGAGACGCCTGGCACTGGCGTGGGTACTTGGCAGGACTACTGAGCAGTTTCAGGGTGTTCAGTGAGTGGTCACATGTGAGAGTACCACCCATGTGCCCCCCATCCCTGGACCCCAAAAGTGAGCCGTGCCTGGTCCCTGCACCCCAGTGTGTGCCCCCTGCTCTGTGGACCTCCGGGGGGTCAGAATATGAGCCTCTTGGCTCCCTCACACTGCAGGCTCTGGCCTCCTTCACAGATCACTCCTGACACAGTCTCTTGAGCTGAGTGGACATTGGAGATTAAAGACTGTGGGCCTGGAGAGGCAGTTCCGTGACCATAGAGGAATGAGCACTGGAAGAGTGTGCGCCCCAGAGATGGGGTGGTTGCTGGTGAGTGGACCTGAACTGTGAGGTCCGTGGATGTGCAGAGAGCTTCCCTGGAGGCTGGGCTGGGCTGTGGCCCATCAGTAGCAGGTGGCCAGCTCCTCCATGAGGCTCAGGCATGGGCCTGGGTGTGAGGTGAAGCCAAAGGGTAGGATGTAGAGCACCACCCCCCTTTCAGAACATCTTTCCTCCTCCTGCCAGCGTCATCCTGTCTCTGCCTCAGATGCTCCAGTCATCAAACCCACCAGCTCTTCCCTGTGGACACGGGTGAGGCCCAGTGGTCCTCACCTTCCTGCCCATCCACAGTCTTCACCACCCTCCCTGAGACCCTGCAGGACTGTGCGAGGAGGAGCCTGAGGGACCTGGCTCCTGGAGGCCAGCACAGGCCTGGATGTTCCTGGCACCTCCAGGGACCCACTCATTCCCAGCTCCTTGCTAGAGGAGGTGGGCTTGGGGGATGTGGTGGATGGGATGTGGCTCACATCATCGGCTCCAGCGTGGCACTGGATGCTTCCTACAGGGAGGTGGGCTCGGGGGACGTGGTGGATGAGACGTGGCTCACGTCATCGGCTCCAGCGTGGCACTGGATGCTTCCTACAGGGAGGTTGGCATAGGGGATGTGGCGACTGGGACGTGGCTCACATCATCAGCCCCAGCGTGGCACTGGGCACTGTGGGGTGTGCATAGCTGCAGTGAGCCTGGAACACACCATTCTTCCCCTACTGATCTGGAGTTTGGGAGGCCAGGGAGTAAGTCTGAGGGTCTGAGAGAATCTGGGAGTCTCTGTGTGGGACCCTGTGCCTGGGCAGGTCTGGGAACCCCGATTAGAAGATGGTGGAGGTGAACAGAGTGCACACTTGTCCTGCACGGAGCCACATCCTCCGTAAGAGGTCCCTGGGGGGACAGAGATGGTGGTCTGGGAGCGTCGAGCCATGCGAGGGGTCATGAGACAGAGAGGACTGCCGTGGGCCCACCCCCTGCACTTCCATGTCAGATGCCCCCCTCCCCCCCGCTAAGTCCCACTCACCAGGTGTGCTTCCCTGCAGGTGAGTGAGAAGATGTAGGAGCTGGCCCAGGCCACCTGCCAGGAGCTAAGACCCTGCTGGACGGCACACACTCCCTGGAGTCCCCTCTGGCCGCCAGCCTCACAATGTCCAAGAAGGGGGCCAGCAGCCGGACTCGGGGGGACAAGGCAGAGGCGCTCACAGCACTGCAGGCTGCCAACGAGGAGCTGCGGGCCAAGCTCACCGACATCCAGATTGAGCTGCAGCAGGAGAAGAGTAAGGTGGGTCCTCCTTCCAGGCACCTTCCTCCTCACATCTCCTTCCCGGCACCTCTTCTTCCCAGGACCCCTGCTCTTCGGGCCCCTCCTTCCCAGGGCCCCTCCTTCCCAGGGCCCCTCCTTCCCAGGGCCCCTCCTTCCTAGGGACCCTCCTTCCTGGGGAACCTCTTGTTCCTCACTGAACCCTCTTCCTTGGGCCCCTCGTTCCGGCACCTTCCTTCCCAGAAACCTCTCCTTCCTAGGAGCCCTCTCTCCTGGGAACCCTCCCACTGAGGCCCCCTTTGCCAGACTGGACTCCACAGAGCATGTAGGAATGGTCCTCAGAGGACCTTGGGGTGGGAGGGTGGGCAGAGTGGTCATTGTGCCCCACACCACTGCAGCCTCGGGGTTCAACGTCTAGCTCAGCAGCCCTCCCCTTCGGGCTCAGCCTTCTGCCACTGGGCACTCTGGCCACACAGAGATCTAAGGTCAAGTCAGCGCCCCAGGCAGCCGGCTCACAGAGGAGGGGCTCCAGGTCCTCTCGGGCTCTCCCACCTGACAGACTGATGGCTCCTGTCCTGTGAGGATCCTTTATCCTTTTCCAGAAGTTTGAAGTCTACAAGGGTGATGGTGACTTGGGGGCTGACCAGAGGTCTTCACACATGTCAGTGCCTGAGCTCTTCTCTTGAGCTCTTTTGGGGAGCAGAGAGGACTCTGCCACCCACTCTTTCAGATGAGGGGACACGGATGACCTTGGAAGAGCTGAGCTCGTGAACCTCATGGCTCCACTGAAAAACAGTGTCAGACCTGGAGCTCTCACTACAGACACATGTGGCCCCTCAATGGGGGAGATGTGACCCCTCAGTGAGGGAGGTGTGACCTCTCAGTGGGGGAGACCTGACCTCTCAGTGGGGATAGACTCATGAGGGAGATGTGACCTCTCAGTGAGGGAGACGTGATCTCTCATGGGGGAGAGGTGACCTCTCAGCAGGTGCTTGCTCCCTGGTGGAGGGAGCTGAGCTGAGAACTGTTGTCTCCACATTCTCTGCTAGCTTGTTTCCAGCTGTAGCATTTGCTTTTTCTTTGAATGCTCTCCAGTGTAAATCTCCAGATGTGAGTGCCCTTGCTGATCTTGGAGCCCACATCTACCCCAGGTCGGAGCCCACCTGCCTCCTGGGCAGGGTAGGCGCCTTGGGAAGGGGCAGCAAGAGGTGTTCCACCGCATAGAATCCTGCCAGCAAGCCTCCTTTCCTTACTGTCTCCTGCCGCCTCTGCCCTTCTCAGAGGGGGCACAGCGACGACTTCCATCAATGGATCTACCCTGCCGTCTTTCCCCTAAACTTACATGAGTCTGTCCACATTCAGTCCACGGCCTGGTCCGGGCTCACATAATCAGCCCTCAGAGAAAGCACCTTTCCCCTGGCTCATTATTTGGTCCAGCTGTGTTCTCTTCTTCCTTGTTTCATTTACATTGTCTCCACAGAGGTGTGTCTTGGAGAGGGCGGCCTTGCCCCTGAGAAAGGTACTGCTTCTGCCCTACAGTCTAAACACGGTACTGTGAGCAGTGCTAGGAACAGCTGAGGTTCAGCAGGAAACTCCCTTGTCCTCTCTCTCACCCCTCTAGACAATCCAGATATCTATCTCAGCACCTGCACTTCAGCTCCCACAGGGCCCTGCCTGCTCCCTCGTGGGCTAAGTCCTCTGTCCCTTCTCCACCATCTGGTCCCCCATTGTTTCCTGAGTCGTAATGAAATAGGCAAAACAGATGTTTCTGGAACAGAGATCACCCTGCACCGACAGCAGGGCAGGGCCATTCATTCTCAGCTCTCCCTCACAATGAGACTCACGCTTATTTGAAAGGTCTTGCCTGGTGCAACCACTGTGGAAAGTGGCGTGGCACTTTCTCAAAAAGTTGCAAGTAGAGATACCATTTGACCCAGCAATTCCAATACTGGGATTATACCCTAAAGAGAACATAACCAACATCCAAGCAGATATATGCACACCCATGTTTATCAAGGCTTTGTTCACAATAGCAAGGAGTTGGAAACAACCCAGGTGCCCATCAACAAACGAATCAATAGAGAAGCTGTGGTATATTCACACAATGGAGTACTATGCTGCATTGAAAAACAAGGAACTCATGCAATATTATTCAAAATGGGTGACCCTGGAGGACATTATGCTGAGCGAAGTATCTCAGTCACAAAAGGACAAATACTGCATGGTGCCCCTGTTGTAAAACAGGACTGACATGGGGGTTGGGTGGAGACTTAGAAAGACGGGTTCAATAATGTATACCGCATTGAAACAGATGACGGAGAGAATAATTTAAAAGCGATATATGATAGGGTATTATGGTTATCACAAGAGTCCAAAATTAAGGTTGCATAGTGGAGTGTACTTGGGGTAGTGGGAGGGGTGTGGGGGGATTGTATACCAAAAAAAATTTTACTTTACAAAGAGAGGAGTGAACTGGGGGTCAGGGTCGGGGAGAGGGCTGGGCGGGGAGAAAAGTGCAACAGTGAATGAATGGAAATCCAAAATCTCTGTAAATGTTCATTAAAATTAATAAAATAAAATTTAAAAAAATCACCAATTGGTTAAAAAGAGGAAGGGAGGGAGGGAAGGAAGGAAGGTAGGTCTTGCCTTTCCTTGGTCCCCAGATGGGAAGTGTGTGGAAAAGGACCTGCCAGTTCAGGACAGGCTGGAAACAGCCAGCTCAGGAGACCATGTGTTCTTGGCCAGTCCCGCTTGAGCACCGATTTTCGGTTTTATTTTGCGCCACATAAGGGCAGGGACGTGGTGGTAGCTTCACTGTCCTCCCACTGGGAGCCCATCAGGAGCTGGCCCTTCCTGGGAGTCCCTGCCTCCTCCCTGTTCTCTGTGACCCTGAACAAGCTCCAGTGGAGAGTGCTCCATGACCCCCCAACCCCAGGTCTGAGAGGTCAGGTGACAGACTAGAACTAGTAAATGCACTGGGCACATTGGTGGAAGACTTCTGTCCCTGAGCCACCAGCCAATGGAAGCTCAGACCAGACATCTCCCTGTCACCTGCACCTTCATGAGGGAATACAAGGCAGCTTTGTGGTAACTTGAGAAAATCATTCCACATTAGAGCTGTCTCCCCAGGTCCACAGTCCTCTTGTTCAGGGACACAGCCTCCTGGGGGCTCAGTAAAGCGGAAATTGTTGACTGATGTAGCAAAGTGTCCCCAACTTCTTAGCGCACAGGGTCCTCTGGACCTGCAGACAGGGCAGTTGACCTACAGATGTTGAAAGGAAAAATATCTGCGGCCAGACCCAGCAGAGACAGAAAGCCTTTCTGGTAGAACTGGTGCGTTGAATTTGGACCTTTAGTCTCCTGTACTGTGAGAGAATAAATTTCAGTTTGTTAAAGCCATCCACTGTGGTATCTAAGTTAAAGCAGCGCTGGATAACAAAGCATGAGCTCTGGCGGTTTATGGGTAAGAGACTGTGCTGTCAGTGCAGAGGTGCCTGGTTAGAAGCCACCAGGTGACCTGCAGGAGAAGATGGGCAGTCTCCTCCCATGCAGTTTAGTGCCTCTGAGAACTTGCGGAGATTCAGCCATGGTTGGTTCCAACTCCATGGCGTACAACAACAATATTTCCCCTTCATCCCTAAACGTTCTTTTCCTTTAAAATTACTGGAGTATGCTTTGCTGCTGGTTCTTCTAGGTCGTGTTCTCAGGTATATAATGTACTCTTTGATTGTTGGTTGTTAGGTACTGGGGAATATGGTTCATAGTGACTCTCCGAAGAACAGGTCTGAACCCTGTTCTATCTCGTGCCGTCTTCATCATCTCTGGCACACGTGCTGCAGTCACTGTGTCAGTCCCTCTCGTTGAGAGTCTTCCTTTCTTGCACTGACTATCCATTTTTCCAAGCATCATCTCTCCTTCCAAGGAATAGCCTCTCATAGCAACATGCCCAAAATATGTGAGATGAAAATTTGCCATCTTTGCCTCCAAACAGCACTATGGCTACACTTTCCCCAAGACTTATCTGTTCATTCTTTTGGCGATTTGTGGGATAGTCAGTGTTCTCCACCAACACCACAACTCAGATGTTATCAGTTTTGTCATCTTTATTCATTAACCCGCTCTCATATGGACAGCAAGTGATAGAAAAGACCTTAGTCTGAATTAGATTCACCTCAGTCTTCAGACTGACATTATTGCTCTTCAGTAAATTGAGGACGTCCCTGCAGCAGACTTGTCCAATGTATTGCCATTGTTGTTAGGTGCCACTGGGTCACCTGCCCTGTCCTGAGCCACTTTCACTGACTCCAACACAAATACCTCCATTGCCCTAGTTGTTTTATCAATCCATCTCATCTGGGTCTTCTTTCTCTGCTTTGTCCCTCTACCCTTCCCAGCATGATGTCCTTCTCCAAGGACCAGTTCCTCCTGGCCATGTGCCCAAAGTATGAGAGACAGAGCTTCAAAATCCCAGCCTCCAGTTGCAATACATCTCCTGATCTCCTGGTACCAAGGGTGTTGATTGTGGAGCCAAGTAAGATGAAATCCTTGATGATTTTCAGTCTTTTCTCCATCTATTATGATGTTCTTTATCTGTCCAGTGGTAAGGATTTTTGTCTTCTTGCTGTTAAGATGCAATTCATATTGAAGTCTCTTTAAATAATTGTCCTTACTTTAGGCAAGTTTTCTTGAATTGCAGTTTGTAGTTTGTTGCTTCTCGCCTCTGCTTTCTTCTTCAGAAACTCCTATTATACATATGTTGGATTATCTTTGCCCATCTTCAGAATTTATAATTTTTGCTTACATCATTTTCTATTTATTTTCTCATTTTTTAATGTTTAAGTTACTTGCATTTTTAAATTTTATTTCTCTTGATCCATTATTTGTTGTGTTTATATTTGCTTGTTTTCCTTTTCTTTATTAATTCCTGAAATATTGTCTCTTATTTATGATTTTTTTTGCCTTGGTACATTATTTGTTAACTTTTTTAATTCTGGCTTATATTTTTATTTATGATTTATATTACTTTCTTTATGTCTTATAATTCCTCCTGAAATAATCCATTATAGTTTTCATCTGTTTCAGTGCATATCTTTCAGGTCTGCTATAGGGATGTTTTCCTTCTTCTAGTAACTTGTATGGTACTTAACCTTGACATTGATGGTCCTGTTGTTTTTTGGATTTAATCTGCCTGAAGAATACTAATTAACCTTTGTGCCAAGTAATCATTTACTAATTTTCTACAAAGGGCTCTGCTGTTCTCTTGCCTTTCCACATTTTCAGTGTTCATAACTGTGAACCGTGCTATCATTTTCTCAGGCGTTCTCTGAGGATGGGCGAGGCAAGAGGGTAAATGTGAAAATGCTCAAACTTCAGGGGCTCAACTTTCCCATCACTTCTGTCCTCAGGACTATGACAGTTGGGCTTAGACACCTAGAGGAATGCTTGTCAGTGCTACAAGAACTCCTTTTTTTAAAGACCTCAAAGGCAGAGTCCCTTTCTGGGCCAATGAGGTCACAGTACGCAGGCACCTGGCTCCAGGTGGCATCGTCTTGGTCCTCATCTGACCTCCACTGCCCTCCCTCAGTGCTTCTGAGCATGTCTGTGTGCTCTCTGCAGTGGCCAGGTTGAGCTGAGACGAGATCAGGGTGGGCTGTGGGCATGCCCTGTGCTGAGAGACTGGTGAGGGGGCTGGAGCAGGGGAGTGAGCACCCAACATATAGGAGACACACAGGTGAGCTTGGAAGAGCAGTCTATGTCACGTATTTATTTATTTTTTATTTAATTTACACATTTTTAAAATGTGAAGTAATTAAATGGATACAAGTTTTCTTTAATGAAGTCTGCCCTTGACAATCTAATCAGAGACGCTCCCCACACACGTTTGGATGATGATTTTCTCCATTTCTGTGTATGTGTGGTGAGTGGGCTGTTGCAGAGCCTGGAATCAGAGAGGAGCGAGGGAAGGTGGCGGAGGAGTGACTGAATTGAGGGGTGACGTTAGGGGCAGCTCCTAATGTGTGCTGGGCAGTGCCCTTCCCCCTCCTGCTTCCTAGGAGAGGTTTGAGTGCCGTCCACCCTTCATTCCATGAACATGTTTGTACCAAATATAGGAGTGATGTGATGATTTAGCCAAAGGGTCTAACCATATTGGTTTAAGTATCTAGAAGGAAATGAAGCATTCAGAAAAACAAACTCAACCCTCCCTGCCCTGCCCCCAGTGTTTTCTTTTCTTAGACATCATTGATAAAGACAGCTTAACTGCTTAGGTTTGTGTCTCTAGTTTTCCAAGCTTGTCACAGGATGTACGTATACACCTCACCTTTTTGGAGGTGAAGGAAGTGGGCAGGGGCTGGCTAGAAGACCCATAACTAGAGCACACCACACTTGCAGCTTGCTCACCAGTGACTGTGTCTGACTGCTTCCCACTCTTCTCAGCAAGTTCATTCTAGAAGTTTTGTCATTTTCTATGTGACTTCTTTCTGAAGAAGAGATTTCCATTAATATGTGTGTCCAGTCTTAATTGCTAGTTAACATTGCTTCCACATCACACGTTCTCCAGGGAACACTCACTGGACACAGTCATGTTTTCTACCAGGAAGGTTTGATTTTTAGTGGATATTTCACGGGAAATGCTCAAATGGGACATCATGTTGATGAAACACATGTATTGGGCTTTCACGCACAGGGTGCCCAGATCTAACACCGAGTGGCTCTCTGCTGTTCCAGGTGAGCCGAGTGGAGCGGGAGAAGAACCAGGAGATCCGGCAGGTGCGGGAGCACGAGCAGCACAAGAACGCAGTCCTGGTCACGGAGCTGAAGACAAAGCTGCACGAGGAGAAGATGAAGGAGCTGCAGGCCGTGCGGGAGACGCTGCTGCGGCAACACGAGGCCGAGCTTCTGCGGGTCATCAAGATCAAGGACAATGAGAACCAGCGGCTGCAGACGCTGCTCAACGCTCTGCGAGATGGCGCCCCTGACAAGGTCAAGACCGTGCTCATCTCGGAAGCCAAGGAGGAGGCCAAGAAGGGCTTTGAGGTGGAGAAGATAAAAATGCAGCAGGAGATCTCTGAGCTCAAGGGCGCCAAGAAGCAGGTGGAGGAGGCGCTGACAATTGTCATCCAGGCGGACAAGATCAAGGCTGCAGAGATCCGGAGTGTGTACCACCTGCACCAGGAGGAGATCACCAGGATCAAGAAGGAGTGCGAGCGGGAGATCCGCAGGCTGGTACGTGGGCGCTGGGCATGGTGGGCGTGCGGGCCGTGCATGGCATCCCTCTGGCTTGCCCCTGGGCCTGTGTTCTTAGCACATCTCACACCCTGTGACCACAGGTCATGCGGACTGTAGAGGCACAGGACTGTTGGAGGCAGAAGGATTCAGTTCAGAACAGGTAACAGTCAGGTGCCCACAGAGTAGAAGGACCACTGGCCTCTGTCCCGCACAGCTGCCCCTGTGTCCACTCCGCACATCTGGTTTCCACTGGAATCTCTGGATAGTTAATTGCTTGGCTAGTGATTGAAAGTTTGGCAGTTGAGGCCCACCCACAGAAGCCTTGGAAGCAGAGCCTGCTTCTCCTGAGAAGTCAGCCATGGAAAACCCCAAGGTTACTGTATCAAAGGGGACTCCATGGCAATGTGGTTTTGTCTGTTTTGCTTTTCATTTCCAGTTTGGCGTAGAACAAGAAACTACAAGTTAGTACCCTCACAAAGGGTGGGAGAGGCTTCTGCCTTCCAGTCCGGCTTGGATGTAAAGCTGAGGAGAGGTCAGTGTCATGAAGGCCTGATCACATGCTTGATGAAGATGCCGTGGGTCTCCGAACCCTGGGTCCGAGAGGTGGAGGTGCTCCAGTGTCATTTCTTAAAGTGCAGGGGAAGCTCAGAGTCTGCGCCCTTCCATCCCTCTTTCCTGGTTGAGTTTGTCCTTCCTTCTGAGCCTTCAGAGCTTTGTCCCTGGCCGATGCTGCCCTTTGATCTTGTGTGGTTGGCCGTTCTAAGATGTGAATGTCCCCTAGTGGTACTGTTGACCATTCAGGCCTGCCCATTATTTGGTTGAAAGTTAAGCCTGGAGGATGAGAATTTGTTCCAGGCTTGAAGGGTGACTAGGGGCCACTGTCCTGGGCAGCATCAGTCTTTGTCAGGCCAGCAAGGCTGGTCATTTCTATGATCTTGAGGTTTAGTCCACATTTTTCTCCTCCTCTGCTCAGGACCCTAATCTGTGGTCTTCTTTAGAGTGGCCGGTAGGGCTACCTGGGCTCGTGCGGCCTCAGGGTCACGTTCAGGGGCATTGTCACGGCCCGTTAGGCCTCTGTACTAGCAGTTTCTGTGCGGCTTTGCTCTTTTCCCCTCTTCTTTGTTCCAGGCAGGGAGGAGCCACTCGCAGACTTTTAAGCCCCAGTTGCTACTTAGCAAAGTGTTGATCTAACATTTCTACTTGTAAAATCCAGGGACATTGATTCCATATGCCATGCCCTGCAGTGCCACCCTCACCACCCTTGTCCGAAGTACTCCACTGCCAGGGGTTTCTACTCTGGCTCTGTCGGGGCTCACTTGTTGGGGTGCCGACACATGGAACCCTTGGGAACATCACTGCTGATTGTGAGGACACCAGATTCGGAACAGGCAAAGGAGTAGACACAGAGCTGACACATGGTGACCAACTGGTCTAGTCACCTGGCCCCCTGGTCTTAGCACTTGGAGTCCTCAGTAGTAGCTCCTCTGTCAAGGCCCCTTGCTCTTTGCACTGTTCTCCAGGACCCCAAGTCCCGGGGAGAAAGGGCTGTAGTTGAGGAAGACTCAGGTCAACCTGTGGAACTCTGAGCCTCCAACTGGACGTCAGATACCCAGGCAGCTGTCTGGCCCTGGAAGGCCCTCTGCTGCTCACACCCGAGGGCGCTGCACCCATGGGGACAGGAAGACTCCAGACCCTGTCCTGGTCACTGGCTTCTTTGAGCCCTGTGGTCATGTCAGAGCCTCCTGTCCCGTGAATCTGGCTATTCTGAGGAGGAGCCCACAGGACACAGTTCCTTGCATGTGACCAGCATCCTCTTGGCCTAGTGTGCCCAATTCTGGATGAGAGTGGGGAGACACACTTCCTGTATTGAGCCAGGAGTATCAGCATTACCAGCATAACAGATGCTGAGAGGGGCCCTGTCCTGGGGACGCCTCACCCTGAGATGCTGGCTGGAATCTTAATGTGGGCTCCTGTCTTGTGAGAAATCAGACCCAGGGCCCTGGGAGAGCACCTGGTGGTCTTCTAGGAGGAGCCACAGCTTTGCCTTCAGCTGGGGCACCTCAAGTCCCTGTGAGCAGGTGAGGAGAGCCCCAAGTGCACACCTTGCCCGGACTGGCTTACCTGGGGCCTCTGCTCTTTCTCCTTTCCTGATGGAAGTAAGGAAAGCAGGCTTTCCAGAACACAGGTGTGAACACACAAGCCCGGTCGCTGACCATGACTGTGATTTTATTTTCCGGCGTCTCTGTCCCCACTAATTGAAGTGTTTGTACATTTGGCACTGCTGTATGCTCTAGTGAATGAGAATTTAGTAAGGAAGGATTTCTTTTATTCAACTCAGCTCACTGCTTACCCATCAGATCTGAGCTAATTGGACTCTAGTCCCTTTGTTTGCATGCTCCTTTCAGATGGCTAATTTATTAGCTTATTTTCACCAGAAACAGCAAGTAAGGCGGCCATATCCCCACTCATGCTGGTGTTGAAAGCGCAGATCTAAGCAAGTTACACATCCCCACGCCTTCTCCTTCCTTTTGTGAACCAGGGCTGCCTGCAGTGAAACCCAAAGACCAGGGTCTGTCTGTTAAAGAACAGGTAACAAGCAGGCGGGAGCCCACCTCCCTAGCCCTGCGGCCCACCTGAGGAACAAGGCTCCCAGGCAGGGCCATCAGGAGGGGCTTCTTGTAGCTGGCAGTAAACAGAGGGCAGAGTGCTCTGGGACAGTGTGGAGGGAGGGCTGTCGACTTGCAGGGGTCACCCCAGAGCTGACCTGTCAGGGATACTGTCCACCCCAGAGCCTCAGCTCACAGCAAGATGACACTGAAAATGAAGCAAACACTGCAGCTCCCATCTCACCTTGATGCATGCACTGGAGGTGGGGGTGCTGCAGAATGAGGGGTGCAGTGGGGTGGGGTGCTGCGGAATGAGGGGTGCAGTGAGGTGGGGTGCTTGGAATGAGGGGTGCAGTGAGGTGGGATGCTGTAGGACGAGGGGAGTAGTGAGGTGGGGTGCCTTAGGATAAGGGATGCACTGAGATGGGGTGCTGTAGGATGAGAGGTGCCTGGAGGTAGGGGGTTGTGGAATGAGGGGTACAGAGAGGCGGGTGCTATTGAATACAAGGGTACAGAAGAGGAGTGGCCTGAGGCTCAGCCCTCATGGACTCTGCTATGTCCTGCTGCCCTTGGGGTGTAACATGTCCATGACGGAGAGAAAAAAGGGGGCCCTGGTGCTCCCCTGGCCTGTCTCCAGCCGACTCTGGACCCATGGTTTCTTTGGCCAGTACAGCACCTCAGGGAAGTGGACAAGGTTGTCTCACAGCCAGCTAAGCTAGGAGGCTGCAGGTCCACGTGGAGGGACAGTGTTGCCAGGAAGCAGGGGTGCAGGTGCAGGCTAGAGAGGAAAGTGGCTTCAGCTGGCCTGTGTGTCTGAGCACGGCTGGTGGCCATGGTGCTGTGGCGGCTAACCATGGCCCTGGGCCAGCCAGGCGGATCTGCTGTCTTTCTGTTAGGGACTGGGTGTTGCAGGGCTGCTCTGGGGACCCCAGTGATCGTGCCTCTTTCAGTGATAACTCTGCCTGTTGCTACCTGCAATGATTGTGCTCTGTTCTCCTTGTAGATGGAGGAGATAAAGTTTAAAGACAGAGCAGTCTTCGTGCTGGAGAGAGAGTTAGGGGTGCAAGCTGGGCATGCTCAGAGACTGCAGCGGCAGAGAGACGCTCTAGATGAGCAGCTGACCCAGGCCAGAGAGGCTGAGCGGCACCTGGGCAGCCCCAGACGGGACCTTCCTTGTACAAGCGGTGCAGGAGACGCCTCAGACCACTCGGGAAGCCCTGTAAGCAGTGCCGCGCCTCCCGGGCCCAAGCGCACGGCACCTCCCGGACGGGGACCTGAGTGCATGGCAACCCCCAGGAGTCCAGGCCTAGTCCCAGCCAGAACGCCCTGCCTGTCCGCAGCCAGCCCTGGACTCCACTGTTCTGCTAGCAGGGATGACCAGTTGGTTCCCTTTTCCCTATGGCCCTGGCCTCACTCTCCCACTGGGGTCCCTCTAACATGGCCAGCAGCCCCTGGGACTTGGTGAGAGCAGGAGAGGAGTCTGTCTGAGTGTACCCCGTACCCCGCCCCTGTGCCACCACACCTGCTGCATGTCCAGCTTCATGCGCACCCATGTTCCGCTCACCCTCCCACCAGCTTCCCGTGTGACAGTGCGGCTCTGCCAGTCCTCCTGGGGCTGGGAATGGCAGCAGGGGTGAGCTCCGTGCATATGGTTGTGCCATCCTCCATCTCATTCGTTCAGGCTCCTGCAGCGGTTCTGCTGTGTTCTGGCAGGAAATCTAAATCCCATGGGCCCTTGGTTCTTTGAATCCAAGCCTCTCCTGCACCCATTGAACGAAGGATGAGAGCTATGTCCAGTCCCCTGGGGTGTGAGCCTGCTTGAGCGTGAGGCTGTCTGGGCTTGGCCAGCCCAGGACAGGACGTTTCCTGGCAGAACGTGATGCTGTCATCTTACGTGGGCCTTGGCGTGCTGCCCGGGGCCTCCTGCTCTAGTACTTGTAGACCATTGTGGTAACCCGGAGGGGCTCTGAAATCAGATTTGCATGCTTGCACTGGTTACTGAGTGGAATGCCTGTGTTCTCAAAGTGACCCTCTAGAAGCCAGTGTAGAGGTGCAAGTGTAGGGCCATGCACACGTGTCTCTTCCCGCCCCGTGTTGACACCAGGACACAATCCCAGCAGCAGCACGGGGATGACCAGTGGACATGAACTTGGTTTTCAGAGCTTCCTCAGTGCCCCAGCACGTGGTGCCTGCATCACATGCCTGCGCCCCATCTGCATCCTCAGACATTTCTGCTCCTCTCAGCTTCTGTCTCATCCTGCTGGCCGCTGTGACCGGTTATGGGCCCACCAGCTGGGGTCCCAGGGAAATGTGGCCGGGCCTCTGTGTCTGTCTAAGGCATGCTGGCTGCATTTCTCCCTGGACAGGTATTTGCAGTTGATTATTGTTTCAGGAACAGCAGTTGGATGAAAAGGACGCCCGTCGCTTCCAGCTGAAAATCGCCGAGTTGAGTGCCATCATCCGGAAGCTGGAGGACCGCAATGCCTTGCTGTCAGAGGAGAGGAACGAGCTGGTGAGGGACAGGGCTATGGAGGGGCAGCTGCACAGGGCCTAGGGGTCTCTAGGGGAGGGCTGGTGAGTGATGGGGGCCTGTGGAGAGCAGAAGCACAGAGGGGCTGGGGGCCCCTGTGCAAGAGAAGTGGTTAGTCAGAGCCCCAGGGCTGTCCACAGAGTGAGTCCTCTGTGAACTACAGACCTCAGTAGCAATGTGTCGTTGTTGCTGTATCCATGGTGACAGTGGTTACAGAAAGGCACCAATGAGCAGAAAGAAAGGCTGTGTGGAAACCTGTACTCTTATCAGTACGGTGTCCACCTCAGTGTTGCCCTTTTTATTATCAACCTGCAGCCTTGAAATGAGTGCACTTGAAAATCACACTTCAGCAAAGCAGTTTTAGGAAGCACTTGGCTCGAAGTTCAGCAAGAACGAAAGGGCATTATCTAGATACCGTAAGACAGAGAACACTACCATGTAAGCGCTAGGTTAATGCAGCACCCTTACCTCTGGAGGTCTAAGCAGCCAATACTCGCAGGCCACGGCGTCTCTTGCAAAGTTGCCCCCTCTGTTGTAGAACAAAAGCTGCCACTGGTGGTGAAACGGGATGAAAGTGTCTGTGTCCCAAAACTTTATTCACAACAGATAGAGGATCATATCTATCCCTCAGGCTCTGATTGAACGACCTCTGCTCTGCTTTGTTGGGGTAAAAGTGGCCTCAATTCTACGAGTTAGCTTGGGGTGTCAGGGGTGGGGATGTGGGCTACTGAGATGTCCCAGACAGTCAAGTAGCCAGGGCTCAGCAGTGACTTGCCCACAACTCTTGCTCCAAAATTCATCTCAAGGAATTAGAAGCTAGCTCTGTTTTCTCAAGACTGGATCAGAGGCTGGCAAGTCCAAGGTCTGTGGGTCAAAGCACAGAAGAGTCTTCTCTGGACTCAGGTAGCTACAGAGACTGATGAACCCCAGGTGAGCAGATGAGGCAGGCCACTGGTCCAAGAGCCAGAGGGGACCAACAAGATTCGTATTGAGCACAAGCATGAGATGTCCATGTGTGTTTTATGTAGGCCACACCCTGGATGAATATCTCATCCAGTTGGTTGGCTATTCACAGAGATCTCATCCTGGTGGTAATTACGTTATGTTAGGTCTCATCAAGGAAATGACTTTATCCTAAAAGCCAAAGCAGAGAATCCCCAACAGCCACACTGACACACAACTTTCCCACCACACCTGCCTACAGGTCACCACACCTTCCTCCGGGTTCTGGGTAGGCAGAGAATTGGCAGGTACCCCAGCTCTGAGGATTTGAACTGAAGTCTCCTCTGTCCAGATTACTGGCTGGCCACCATGCCAGTGCTACAGGGTCCGTGTTGGTCAGCACATGGACTTGTCATAGACACGTGTTGTATGATGATTGTGCCTTTCAGTTAAAGCGGCTTAGAGAGGCAGAAAGTCAGTATAAACCACTGCTGGACAAAAACAAGCGTCTGAGCAGGAAGAACGAGGACCTTTCACACACGCTGCGTCGCATAGAAAACAAGTTAAAATTTGTGACCCAGGAGAACATAGAAATGGTAAGGGTATACCAACACTTCCCTCTTCTTATTCTCAAGGTGTGACGGTTCCCCATCCCCTGGCAAGGCTTCCTGGCTGTGTAGTCAGACTCCACTTCCAGGGAGGTGCCAAGCTGCCCATTAGGAGACAGTGCCTTTAGATGGGGCACCTGGTCCTTCAGAGAGGGATGCAGTAGGAGTTGGCAGTGAGTAGCAGCCTAAAAACAGAGTCTGGGAGGTGAACGTGGGGAAGAGAGACCAGACATCCTTCTCAGCCTGTCTGAGCCAGGACACCTGGACATTGATCTCTCAACTGAAAATCTTGGTCACTGGCCGTTAGAGGCTACCTGACTGCTGACCATGGGAGCGAGAAGAGCAGGCAGACCCGGGCAAAGGCACCAGACAGGGCAGCCCCGTTCCTCTCCGCTGACATTGCGTTCATTGTTGTTGAACGATCTGTGCCTTCCCACCAAGGGGAAGTCTTGCTAAACAATAATCAACAGTGGGGCTTCTGCAGCAGGGGCACCCAGACACCTCCTTATACGAGTCCCTTTTCAAATTCTGGACACATGTGGTCAGATATGATGTAGCACACTGGGTGCCCGTGGCCACATCCTTAGGTCCACACACCTGTGCAGCATGCTCTCTGCGGGGTTCCCCCGAAGACGTTCTCTAAGTTCAGCCCTTCTACGTTTGGGGATGACCAGGACATGAGGCTTGTCCCTCTGGGCTCGACAGACAGCAGCTGCTCCAGGTCTGAGCTGAGAGACCCCCTTGTCCACAGCCAAAGGCTGGCCATGGACTGGTTGCTGGTCAGATGCAGGTGGAGCAGGAAACTCCCAGCTGGCCCGATGTAAGAGGGCCTGATTGACTTTACAGCGTCAAAGAGCTGGGGTTATCAGGAGACCGAGTTCCCTAAATGACCTGGACCAGAGTCAAGAGGAGAGAGAAGTGGACTTCCTGAAGCTCCAGATCATTGAGCAGCAGAACCTCATAGACGAACTTTCCAAGGTAACAGACCCCTGCGCTCTCGCACCTGCTTCCTGACACCCAGGGCCCTGGCCTTTAGTAGGGGCAGTGGAGTTTCCACAGGGGGGTGTTAAGGGACACCATGGGGTCATCTCAAGTGGGCTGGCCACCCACCACAACAGAAGAAAAGCGTGCCTATTACCTGTCTCTCCTCACTGCGTCTGCCATGTGTGAGCCCATGACCGCAGCTAGTGTCCACGCTCACAGCCCATGACCGCAGCCCGTGTCCACACTCACAGCCCATGACCGCAGCCCATGTCCACGCTCACAACCCAGGACCACAGCCAGTGTCCACGCTCACAGCTCAGGACTGCAGCGTGTCCACGCTCATAGCCCGTATCTGCAGCCAATGTCCATGCTCGCAGCCCATAGCTGCAGCCAGTGTCCACACTTACAGTTTGCAGCCTCAGCCAGGGTACCTCCTTATGGCCCGTTACTGCAGCCAGTGTCCACACTCACGGCCTGTAGCTGCAGCCAGTGTCCATGCTCCTGGCGCCGGCCGTGCGTGAGCCCACTGACGCAGGCAGTGTTCATCCATTTTGTTGAGCCTTCTTTTTTGTAATCTTGGTCACTTACAAATGCATGTAATGTCTGTGTCCAGCCCCTCTCTATGATGTCCAGTGGTGCCGCCCAGCTGTCCTGAGCAGAGGGGCCCTGGACTCCCCTGAGCTCGTGCCCTCTCTTGCGGGGGCTAGTCTTGAGGAAGGGGGTTGTCAGGAAGGCTTTTCTTAACGGATGCGACTGCCTGGGGGTGGGCCTAGAGGAGGGTCCATGCTTATGAAGCTTCACACTGGGGCGACCCATCTGGGCCCTGGAGTCCTCTGCGGACTGGGATCCACACCACAAAACATGTTGTTTCTTTTCCAGACTCTGGAGACCGCTGGCTACGTGAAGAGCGTGCTCGTAAGTCCCCGCTGCTGCCCTCACTCCTTGAGTCCCTGGGCTTCCAGCAGGGCTGTCCTATGGGCCAGTCCACCCTCCGTGTGTACAGAGTGTGTGTGTACGATGCGGAAACTGTGTCATCGCGGTGCTGCCTGTACCCAGGCTGCAATGGGGACAGGCTGCCCCCGCCCGTGAGGGTCCGGTGGGGCCAGGGGACTGCAGGTTCCCAGACTACCCGTGGGGACCTGCCTGGGTGCCCCCTGAGGTCTTTCTCCGTGACCAGGGACAGGAGCCTCCTTTGGGACCTCACCCCTCGCTCAGGCCTGCCACAGGCTCCCATTCAGGCAGTATGTGGGGGACCATTTCTGTTCACAACCCTGGAGCGGCCTAGTTCCTGCCCCGTGTGGCCCTAAGCCAGGCAGTGTGGGGAGGCTGGTGCCTGGCTCAGAGCGTACTCAAGTGGGGTGGTTCCATCTAGTGGGAACAGGGGTGTCCAGGCTCCAGCCCAGACCTGTGTCCACAATGCAACAGAGAAGGCACTCTGTCAGCAGAAACAGCACCCTCTACGTGAGACATGCAGGCTGTCCACATGCTCAGAGAGTCTGTTCACCTGTCGTTTTCAGGAGCGAGACAAGCTTCTTAGATACCGGAAGCAAAGGAAGAAGATGGCGAAAATCCCCAAGGTAAAGGAGCTGGCCATGGGAGCCTGTAACACGCTGGACTTTGCACTGGACGGGTGGAAAGGGAGTGACCTTAACTTTTCTAAGCATCATTACTGTGAAGTAACTCAAAGACACAGCAAATATTCTGTGTCTGACGTTAAATTTCACAGTCTAACTTTGTTGCTCAGACTTTGAGGGAGGAGGGGTGGACTTGTGCTGGTGACGATGACAGGGAGCTCGTGTCCACACGGCCCTGGGTATGAATTCTTGTCCATGTGGAATTCATAGTGTTAGGACTGCAGTGTGTGTAGACTAACCTACTGGGGGACGGGGGGAGGGGGAAGGCCTCGCCAGAACCACGTGCCCTGCGAGGGCCTGGCCACCCTCAATCCCCCTGACCCACCACCTTCCTGCCCTGCAGGCTGACGCGTCCACAGTCTGTTCTCATACACACAGATACATACATCGCCACACACACCAACAGTAGCCCACATACAGGGCACACATGCTCACACGTTCTCATATAAACACAACACAGTCCACACACACACATTCTCATATATACACACACATTCTTACACACATGTACACACACACACGTTCTCATATATATATACACTCACGCATTCTCACATACACACACGCGTACATATACACACTCACACAATCACACACACGTTCTCATATACACACACAACAGCCCCCCCGTCCTCATAAACACACAGTTACACACACACATACATGCCCTCATATACACACACGCAACAGTGTGCACTTCTGGCTCCGAGGGAGGAGGTGGGGGGCTCCCGGAGGGGCAAGGACACCACTCCAAGAGGAAGGACAAACCCCTGAGAAGCAGAGACAAGGTTTGAAATGACGGCGTGTTGTCCACAGGGAGCAGGAGGGTGACACCAGGACTTCAGTCAGGTTGTTCCACCTCAAATGTTACTTTTCTATGAAAGGTTACTAGGTGTTAACACACCCTGGAGGGTGACTCTGCTCTAGCTAGTGTCTGAGATGGCCAGAACCAAGGGAGGAGGCGGGTGGTCAGACAGGGGAGGCCGTCAGGACTGAGGGAGGAGGCGGGTGGTCAGACAGGGGAGGCAGGCACCATGCTAGTTCTTTCTGGAAGCTGTTTTTTGTGTAGAAAGGATGGCTTCTGTTTGAGGTCCTGGGAATTCCATAGACCCGAGTGCTGTCAGGGGACACAGGCAGTTAGGCTGGGATCCCCATGGTCTCTAGGGCACGTGGGTAAGCGCGCTGGACAGCAGTTAGTGAGACCACTGGAGGAGAAGCCCTAGTGAGGCCTCATCCGCAGCACCCAGGCCAGGAACCGGGAGCCTCTCAAGTCACTGAGGGCGAAGGCAGACAGGAAGAGGGGAGGGAGTGACCTTGGGTGACCCCTTGGCCAGTCTTCTCACACCGGTTAGTGAGAGTCCCAGCTTTTCTCTGATGAAAACATGTCACAGGGTGGTGCCCTAAAATGCACAGCAGTGCGAACCAGAGATCACGGGCATAAATAGGGAAGCCCAGAGGCTGGGCCCGCAATGAAGTCACGCCCACCAGCTCCAGTCCACCTACTCACCAGCCCTCCCTCAGGACGACCCAGGTGGCCGCCTCACTGCCTTGTGCCACAGTGGCCTGAGTGTGGAGACAGGAGACAGGGCGGTGGTGGACGGCCCAGGGGGAGCTGCAGGGTCTCTGAGGTGGTGCTGGCTGCCCTCACGCTGCCCCTTTGGTCTGAAGCCGCCGGTGGTGGTGGAGACTTTCTTCGGGTATGATGAAGAAGCGTCTCTGGAGTCAGATGGTTCTTCTATCTCTTATCAAACTGACCGGACAGACCAGACTCCGTGCACCCCTGAGGATGACCTGGAGGAGGTAACTCGAGCCCCGCAGCAGCTCCTGGGAGCCGGGCCCGGGCATCATCCCTTGGGGCGCGAGTGGGCACGGGGAGCAGGCACACACCCTGGCCCACCTTCCGGGCCTCCGTCCCGGGTCTGCACTGTGAGCAGAGCTGGTGCCATTTCAGCCAGAAGGCCCCATCCTGGCCGGTGCTCTGCAGGAGACGGGCGGTAGGTGGTGATGCCCACCTGGCACTGCTGGATTCATGCGCCCGTGTGGACGCCCCCAGTAATGAGGGCACTAAGGCAGTAGTGGAGGGCCAGCAGCCTGGTTGGCTCAGACAGTCCCAGTGACCAGGCCTCTGTGGGAGTCACGTCCACTTGGAGCCCCCTCCTGGGGTTCACACCCTGCCTCCAGACACAGGGGTGCAGGTACCCACTTCAAGGGCCCCCTGGAGGCAGGTGTCTTTCCCTCAGGAAAGGGGTACCTGCTGCCAGTGCTAATGGTGGCCTCTCTGCTCAGGGCATGGCCAAGGAGGAGACGGAGCTACGCTTCCGGCAGCTCACCATGGAGTACCAGGCGCTACAGCGTGCATACGCCTTGCTGCAGGAGCAGGTCGGAGGGACCCTGGATGCCGAGCGAGAAGTTAAGGTCTAAATGGCTTCCATTCCTGGGTGTTGGGACCACAGCCCTCCCTTCAGCCTTTGTAAGGACACTCCCTGACCTCCTGTCCCCATGGACACTTACCCCCTTTAGGAATACTTCCCAACTCCTTGTCCCATGGACACCATTCCCCGTCAGGGACATCTCAGACCTTAGCAGTCAGTGGTATCTAGGCCGCCCAAAGTCCACATGGGAACTGGGAGAACCCCTAGGAGCAAGGTTCTCCAGCAGGGTCACCCCAACAAAGGCACCAGTGTTAACCAGGGGTACACCCTCTGCACAAACCTACCACAGGCTTTGGGGACCCTGGTGAGCAAGGGGGAGTCAAGCAGGTCTGAACATTCTGAGCCCTCTCAGCATGCATGGAGCCTGTGGCCGCCTTGCCTCCATTCTGGCCTCCCTGGACGTGGAGGTGTGGCTCCTGACCAAGAGCAAGTCAGGGGTGACGGGTGAGGCCTTCTGCACCCCAAAGGTGGCCTGGCAGAGACGGGTGCAGTCCTCTAAGGAGCGAGGCAGCTGGAAGGAAAGAGCTTAAGGGATAGCAAACAACAGGACCAGGTTCTGGGCAGGGGGCTAGTGGGCAGTGTGCTGGCGCCCCTGGAGGAGCTGCGGGGCTGACCATTCTGACAGTCTGTGTGTCTGTGTGTTACTGTGAACTAGGGTGCGGGTGTGAGAGAGGGACAGAAAGAGAGCCAGACAGACAGACACACTGAGAGAAAGAGCCAGACAGACAGAGAGAAAGAGAGAGAGTGTATGTGCGTGTGTGCACTGTGTGCATGTGTAGTATTTGAGCGGTGTTAGTAGCTGCAGGAGTGGGTATGGGTGTACTGTATATGCATGGATATGTGGAGGGACGTGAACCTGTGAACATGTGGATGGTTGTGTTTCTGTATCTGTTAGTGCGTTGTGTGTGTGTTTATGAGTGTTAGTGTATATATATACATCTGCATATACAGAGTGTGTGCTGGTGTGTATATATGTATGTGAGAGTGCATGTTATATGTATATGTGTGCATGGATACCTGGGTAGGTGTACATGTACATTTTCATGTCTGTGTGGGTGTATGTATGTATGTGTGTATATGTGACTGTGTTATATGTGTATATATCTGAGTGTTACGTGTGTATTTATGTGTGTGTGCTTAGTCACGCTTATGTGTGAACCTCTGTGTAATTGAGCATGTACATGTATAAGTGTGTGTATATTATGTGAGGGTGATGAATGTGTGTGACTATCTGTTGTGTGTTTTTATGCGTGAGTGTGCATGTTCGTGTGAATGTGGCTGAGTGTATAGAAGGGTGTGATTCTGCGTGTGTAATTCCTGCTGAGCCGTCACCCTCCTCAAAGGAGATAGAGACAGCCCCCACTCCTACCCCGCCCAGCTCTGGCAGACAGGAACATGGCGAAGCCTTTAAACTAAGATTCTACATGGCCATTCTCAGGGTGACCATCTTCCTTTCTGTAACCTAGTGAGATGCCTCCTCTCCTCAGTGAGTCCTTCTCCAGAGGAGGAAGGGGATGGCTGAGGTCATTTCATGATGCTGGCCTGTCCTCCCGTGGCGTCCATGAGTGGCTAGTAGAGAAAGTCTGACATCTCTCCTCCATCCTACAGACGCGTGAGCAGCTCCAGGCAGAAGTGCATCGCTCTCAGGCACGCATCGAGGACCTGGAGAAGGCGCTGGCAGAGCAGGGCCAGGTGAGGGCTGGGAGAGGAGGAGGAGAACAAGGATGGGTGGAGAGGTAGCCTGACTCCCCTGGAGCAAGTGACCTGTCTGCCTGGAGAGGGTCACTCACAAGAGCCGGGCTCTGTCTGCTGCCTGTGTTCTCAGACATTACACGTAGAACACTGCCAGTGTCAGGGAAGATGGAAAAGGTGTGTGTCCAGGAGGCCTGCGCCCCAGGCCATGACCCCGGGCCTGGCTGTGAAGCCAAGGAAGCACCCATGCACTAGTCAAGAGCACAGGTCGGGGACCAGGGACCAGGAAATGCTTGCTGAGAATGCCTCTCCCACCAGTCCAGTCATGCCTCTTCCAGCTGGCCCATGGCCCTCGAGGGTGGGCAGTGCCATGATGTCCACCAGGCTAGGGCCGTGGCACTCATTTTGGGATCTGAGAGGGTGCCCCCAGCAGGTCCTAGCCCTGGGGATAAAATCACCCTGCGCCATGCTCTGTCTGCTTTCTTCTCTTTCCAAGGACATGAAGTGGATTGAGGAGAAGCAAGCCCTGTACCGGAGAAATCAGGAGCTGGTGGAGAAGGTGAACCTGCATGGCTGGGCCTGTGTGCCAGAATCCAGGCTCCGCGGGGCCTGTGGTGCTGGGTGGGGTGAGGCTGCAGCAGGGTCTCTTCATCTTGTACGTGCCTGGCCTGTAGAGGAGGGCCCATTCTTGACTCTGGGTCTGCTGTTGCCACTGTGGGTGACAGTGACCCAGAATCTGAGGACCAGTTCCTGTGAACAGCCTGTCTGCCAAAGTTCTCCGTTCCTGGCTGTCTACTGCTGGTGTGTGGTGACGATGACATTGTTTACAGACTGTCTCTGCCAAGCTTCTCAGTTCCTGCTATCTGCTGCTAGGAGTGTGTCAGTGACACTGACAGTGGTGACACTGTGGTGGTGGTGACACTGTGGTGATGGTGACACTGTGGTGGTTATATCATGCACAGCCTTTCTCTCCCAA